GAAGACAAAGATCGGATTGGAAGGCTGAAGAGCCCCGAAGGTCCCTAAGGGTTTAAGGTCCCTGTAGGCCACATAAGGGACCCCCGCCCGTAGGGCCACGACCTCAAATGTCAGTCCGAGGGCCTTTTGCGTCGATTGGAGGCCCCTGGGACAAGGCGGGCTACTATCTCGGCCAGAGACCACCAACACCGAGCAATCGGCTCCATCTCGGTCTCAGCACTGGGGGCTCTTTTCTCAGGCGACTTCTTAAGTGCAGCGACTTGCGTTGGTCGGGCTCCTGCAGCAGTGAGGGGCGCCTGCGACGGTCACGGACTCTCCGTGTCTAACAGGGGATCCCGTGCGGGAAAGGGGCCCGAGTGGGGCGGAGGAACGTTTGCTGAACAGGGAAAGGGACGGGACCTCGAATGCCAGAGGGCCTCTTGCGTTGTTTTGGGCCCTCTGGCTATGAAAGGAGACATGGACACTTATAACAAAAGTTCACAATGAGACAACGGGACAGCCCCGTGTCAGTCAAGACCGCAGCACTGGATGGGACCCTTCGCTGAATTTCAGCTGATGGCCTGCAAGCCGAACAGGAATATAAGATATTGTTGAACCCCCTGCGGCGTTAAGTCTTGCTGCGTCAATGAGAACTCCTGCAACGATCCGAGACCGCTGCCGTGTTAGAGGGTATCTGCGTCAGGGAGGGGGTCAATGCATGATAAACGTCTCTAAGGGCCTCCAGCTCAACCAGGGACCCCGCCCCGTATGGTCAGAATGACAGTAGGTAGGCACCCAGCGCTAGGACAAAATGGCCCTTCAACCAGGGACTCGGCCCCCGTGTGGTCAGAATGACAGTAGGGGGGCACCCAGCGCTAGGACAAAGTGGCCCTTTAGCCCTTTACCGGGGACGACAATGCGTCCCTTGGCGCTCTACCCACGTGCTCCCATGCACGGAAAAAGGTGCGGGGTCTGATTGCTGTTCAACAGAAAAGATTGCAATGAGGTCACAAATGAAAAAGGCCAACCCATGTTTGCCTGAGAACGTCCATCGTTTTGCAGAATTGAATGGGCACAAATCACATCAAAACGTTTTTGATCCTTCACACTCACAGCTTAGAAGGAAAAATGCATGGATGGTGTTGCAGTTTCCGTAAAACCGAATACCGTTGCCTGCTGCACATATCACCCGGCGGCGGTCACCGGGGGTGCGAGAACAATTGTCGTGAGGCGATGCTTCCAAAAGTCTTTTTATAAATAAATTTGTACTATTCAAGCATTAGACTGGGCTTAAACTTCACCTTTATGATTTGGGGGATACCGTCTTAATGGATCAAAAATTAAAGCAACACAAAAGTGGAGATTTTACCTGCACTTTTGTCCATCCCACCGCGAGATTCCAGTTGTTCATTTCCTAGCATTTATCTAAAAATTGCACTGATGAAATATACTCCCGAGCTACCTTCCCATCGTAGAAATTGATGTCCTAAAGTGTTTAAAGGGTTTCACACTAGTGCGTCAAGAAAAACATGAGCAGGCGTGCTGCGACATTACTTCTACTGCTACTACTTATACACAACATTAGAGCTACGGGACAATACTTATGCTGCAACATGTATGCGTTGTATTACTTCTACCACAAGTATTTAAGTCATTACTTGTGCATGGCATTACTTTCACTGCAAAAACTCACATGGCGACATTAGTGTCATGGTAAAACGCAATATTCATAAACGTATTCCCGCGATCACCGTTACAACAAAACATGTGCAGTCATCACTTATGCATGACGTTACTTCCACTGCAAATACTTTTCTTTAATATTAGTGCTACATGACAAAACTTTTACCTCAAAAGCCTCCACCCCTCATCACCTCTAGGGCAAAAGCTAATATAGTCATTGCTCACAAATGACATTACTTCTACTCCAAACACTTGTGCGCAGGATAATTGCTACACGACAAAACTTGTACGTAAAAATGCACAACTGTCATTTCTTTGACTGCAAAAACTTGTACTGTCTTTGCGCACTCGCAACATTACTTTTACAGCAAATACTTGTTGTGGAGTGCAAAGGGTGTGGACACCTCGCATGGATGTAAAAACAATTTGCAGGTTACGAGATAACCTCGGCCGGGCAATACTGCAATTAAAGGACCGTGGCGCCGATACGAAAAATCAGATATTTGTTAGGTGGCTTTATGTTGTCTGAGGCGTCCACTCCTCGGTGGATGGACGCTAAGGAGTGGGTGCTTCCAATTTCATCTCGCCTGTCCGAGTGCTCCCACGTGTTCGCTCCCTCCGGATTGTGGTGAACTCTAACCTATGGGTTGAAGTACTAACGGTTATAATTCGTGAATTATGGCCTGCATCATACTGCACAAAGTCCCACATAAGTTGGCCGAAGAGGTAATATCGTTGACAATTAAAGACTATAATGTTTTTGTTATATATATATATATATATATATATATATATATATATATATATATATATATATATATATATATATATATATATATATATTGACCTCATAACTTTGTTACTGAGCAATTGTTTCATTATTTTTGCAGGTTCTTTTGGGTAGCACTGATGTCACGGGTAACTCGTTGAGGGAGAAGTAATGTCGGGTGTAAATAAAAACTTTAGAAGTTTTTGCTGTAGAAATAATGACGGATGTATGTTTTCGCAATATAAGATCTGACGTGTAGCACTCATGCCATATATGAATTTTTGACAGAAGGAGTCATTTTGCGTATAAGCGAAGAGTGTATGCGTTTTCGAAGTCAATAGAAGGGCGGTTATAGCTTTTGAAGCATGCAATTTATCATCGAGCATACGCGCCATACATGGGTTTTTGCAGCATGAGAAAACGTCGTTTATCTGTAAGGTCTCTATGAGTTTTTGCACTAGAAGAAACGTCACGTATATCTAGATCCGTTATAACTAGACTAGACTAGGCTAACTATAACTAGACTCAGTAAACTCTTTTCGCCTCGAAGTCTCTAAATTAGCGACCCGCACTATACCAAAACCATAGCTTGTTTTTGGCAGTGAACATTTGCTATATCATACGATATTAGTGTTTATGTTGATGCAGTTCTACAGTTCTTCTCTCCACACTTGCAATCCCGTTTACCTTGGCAAAGCCCCAGCTTGTCACCAAGCGCACTTTCATTGGCGGCACGCATAGCTAAATAAACCAACAAGTGTCGGTCTCCAGGGAGGAAGCATACGTAGCCTTTCTGACTACATCTCCGTGGTGCAGTCTTAATCACCATGACGTTCTAGAGCCTTGGGCGAGTGAGTCTCCCTGCACAGTCGTCGGTACTCGCTGGAGGCAACCTCTCCATGCAATCGTCGGTATTCTCTGCGTGACAACCTCCACATGCAGTCGTCGGCATTCTCTGATGTCGTAGGTTTTAAAACTCTTTGGCACCAGTGGCACTCCTCCCCCCCCCTCCCCTACCCAATCCCACTTATCACCTCAATGTCATTCCCTCCTCATTTGCTGTAGCAGTATCTGATTATTCACCTCTTTCGGCCCCCGCACAGGCCAGGTATCACACACGCCACTGTTTCAGCCGCGGACTCCCATCGTAATTGCATGTTCCAGCGGCTGTTTTGGACCCCAGTTCTAGCCCAAACCCTATCTCAATCTCAGAGTCGTTGACGCTCAGAACTGCCACCGATATCCCTACATTCTCAGTCTGAGTGACCATCCCATAACTCGGTGCGCCACAATTGCAGTCCCTGCCATAGACGCGGTCCTGGCAACAGCTTCAGTGTCAGTCTCTTTCTTAGCCTGCTATCTCATGCGTTGTTATCGTTCTTTAAAAGACTTCCTGGGTTGGGCGTACCCAGGGTACCCATATGCAATGTATGGATGGGGTTGGGTGCAGGTTTTAGGGAGCTGTTCGGTAAGGGCACGGGTATGGGCAAGATGCTGACAAAAAGTTGGATAGATTCTTTAGGAGTTATTACACAATATTACTGATTGTGCCGCTTTTAGTGAAGCCATCATTAGCTTCAATCACCCTTCTTTCGCAGTTATCGGCGCGAAAGATCGAGTTTTGTCGCAAACTTCTTTGAAATCCCGCCATCATTTATAACTTAGGTGATAGCAAATGTAAATGGGTTGGTAGCTGATCGGGTAGAGTTGATCAAGAATGGGTAGCGAGAAGGGTATAAGCACATGGGTAGCGGGTGGATTGGAGAACGCAAATGCTGCACTTAAGGCCTGTACTGTCCTTGTCCTTGACTCGGCCTCTGTTCCAGCTCCTGACACAGCCATTGCCTCAGTCCCAATACCTGCCAATATCCGCTTTCAGTCAAGGTCTCAACCACACTGCCTGGTCCAGCCTAAGTCTCCATCTGTCTCCATTCACTTGTCCTTTTTCTCTGCAATGGCTCTGTCACAGCCCCTCCTACCATCTTCCTGTCCACGCTAGAAATGCAGATGGGCTGCCGCATGCCATTATCCCACCACAGAAACAAAAGCCTCCCGGATCTCATAGGGCGCTTGACTGACTGGAGTATGCACATCCTGCATTCCTAGATTCATTTCCGGAATCCAAACGCACGACCAATCTTCCCTGAAGCCCCAGCTTCTGCCCCAGCTGCAGTCCCAAGCTCTTCCCTGATCTCCATCCCAGTCTCTGCCATGTCCTTGTCCAGAGTTTCTTGTTCCAATCCGGGTCCCTGTTTTCGTGACCTGCCAGTCCCAGGTCCTGTGCTGCCCACGCGGCTGCTCCAGTTTCTGTGGCCCTGGTCCGGTCCCTGGTCATACCCCGTCCCCGCCCAGTCTCCGCCCGTGTCCCTGTTCTGCTCCTGCCCCTGCCTGTGCCCGCCCTCAGTCCCTGTCCCTGTGCCCCTGTCCCAGCCCCATTCCCAATCCCATCCCTGCCCAGCCGGCCGGCCGGCCCGTCCCGGTCGCGGCCACCAGCGGCGGCGCGTGACCTTGCCACGAGCCTTGGTGGCTCCGAATGAAAGTGGCGGCGGCGGCGCCAGTCGTGGCTGAACGGAGTCGCCGGGCGGGCGCAGCACGTGCACCTCCCTGGCGGCCGGCGGCCAGCGCTCTCGGACGCCCTCGGACGCCGTGTGCCGGCTGGTTTCACCTGCCCCGCGGCCCAGCGAACTCGCCTGTGAGTACGGCCGACGTGGCGCGTCGCGCTGCCGGCCGCTGCCTGCCGCCGCACGGCAGCGGTCGCCGCCGGGTTGTAACCGCCACTGGCCCAGATTCGGGACGCCGATGTCGTAAGGGACGGGCGAGCGGTGGCCGCTGGGGCCGCTGGGGCCGCTGGGGCCGCGGGGCCGCGGCCGTCTGCCGTCATGAGGACGTGTTGGGCGGACTGTGCGGCTGCGTGGCTGTGTTGGTCGGGTCAGAAAATGGCGGGTTACACAGATAAGTCGCCGTTTCGTCACCGCATTCACCTCGTTGGTGTGCGGTCTCTTAACCGTTGATAGTGCGGGACCATGACGCCCGGACGGAAACTTGGCGTTGCACAAGCCACCTCTTCCGGAAACAAATTTCCACCGTGCGCCATGGCAGAACGCTGGAGCAGTTGGCAGAACGCGGCAAAATGAACCCTATGTTCAGGGAAAACGCAAGATTCCTCAGATGGCTGCAACCAAGTAGAAATGTGATTCACCACCTGACCTGGCTGTGTAACTCTGACTATTCTGTTTTGAATGTATTGAATGCATTAACAAACTGAGCCTGTTAAAACATATGCGGACATAAAAAGAATGTCTTTACCGCCACGCCAGCCATAGTTTTCCTTCTGTCGAGACGGAAGCCTGTCTCACACAGCCATACCTTCCTTGTACAGCACGTCAGTCCAGAACCAGCAACTACATAATTTGCGCCCCAAAACGATGTGTGTAATCTCCACCACTTGTTTGCAATAAGTGTGCAACCTGTTGTTGTTCGTCGTTGTCGCATTTGCGTGGAAATGTCTTCCGAACTAATGTAGGAAACCACTGGCATTCAGTTGTGAAGGGCAAGGCAAGTGAGACTCATTTGTGATAGCACCTTGGAAAGGCACAGTTTTACAAAACACCTGTTTCGACATGGATAAGTGAGTATGCGTCACAGGGTGCAAAATGAAGGAGAGCTTGGCCCCGTTTGGGCGCATTTATTTGGAGGCAGCGTCATGGAGATCCTGGGCTTTGTAGTCCTCTGAAACAACACAATAGGAACAAAGGAGGAATCAAGTTCTTCTGCATGATGCACGTGGGAGCGTATGTATCATTTTTATGCATCAAAAATGGTTTGCGGTAAGCTTTGCTTGCAATGCCATAATTAGTTACAAGTAAACTGGTGTTTGTTTCTCGTATTACCCCGATTACGGAGAAAAAGGTACCTGAAGAAGGAAGTGCAGGACATGAAAAACTGACCGCAACGAACATATATCAACACGTTCATGCCCTTAGCTAAAGCGCTAATAGTGGCAAGTGCTCGTAGTTTAACTGCCAGAAGCGGTGTGCTCTGCTCTCTCGTCATGGCAAATGAGTTGACTCTATGATGGCATACATTGTTGTCATCAGGCCTTACTCGCCGGTGATACGGGACAGGGTGCGGCTCGGATACATTGGAACTAGGTTTTTATGAAGTCGCCGTTTCTTTCCGTACCTTGCTACCCTCCGTGAAGCAATGGACGGCAGATAGGAGTCCGTGTTAACTGTTGGGTGTGTGTCAGCTTACAGGCGAATCCTATCCACGCTTGCATAACCACGGACACGTTTGCTGTAAAGTAGGAACGACTTAGCAGTATCAGGCTATCCTATCTATTATCTTATCCTATCCTATCCTACATCCTATCCTACATCCTATCCTATCTATCTAACTGTCCTCTGCCTGCATCAGGCTCGGTCGCTTCCTTGACGCGTTGTCCTGCCCGGCGGGACATAAGACAAAAATAACAGCAACCCCGCGTTATGATGCTTTGTTACCAAGAGATCAGCAGATGTAGACTATTCCGATTTTGCGTGCGGCATTATGTTCCCTATGACCACACATTCCTGCTGCAGTTGATCGCGAATGTTTATCAATGAACTCGCCGGGATGGTTCGCAGTCAAGCTGGTAGGCCCAGTTCATATCGACCCTTGTCTTTGACCTCAAATATATCGGTTGGTTAGGAAAGATATTCCTGTCTACAGCTCGTCCTCCTTTTGTTATCATAGGATGCAAAAACTAGCAGAGCTAGTGAAGGACAAATCACCCGAGCTATCTCATTTTGTTTCGTACCTGACCGTCAATGATGAAAATATTGGTGAGGAGGGGTCCATAGCGGTGACATTAATACCATAATAAAATGACGATGTTGTTACTCCAAGGGTCGCTTTGCTCCACTCGACCAACTTCCAACTGAGCGGCACAACTAACCAGCTTCGAATCGCGCGAGTTAACGATGGTTGTAGAGAAAGCCGACCGGCATTCTCCCGCGTTCCAGCCGAACCAACAGTGCGCGTGCTATGCCGGCTCTATTCGCTGCCCATAGTGCACTGACCCCAATGGACGTTAAAGGGCTCGTGATGCGCCGATAGCCTTCTAGCAGCGGAACTGTACAGCTTACGACGACCAAAAGGCCTTCTAAAAACGCACCATGAAAATGTGTTGCTAACCGATATCTTCTGTGCAACGCCCGTGGGCTGACGTGGTGTGGGGTAATCGGCGGCGCCGAGCGCTCCGCCGTGTCACACAGTCATCTCCGCCGCTCCCACCGTCCGGTATGAAGGCACACGTGGCCTTTATCTACGCGTCCAACTATAAACCATGACGCAACGTTCCCACGGTATTCACCTGGTCACTTGTCCTGTACCGGGCCGCGATTTCAGAAGCCGTTCGTGTTCACGTCGCAGATCGGTGCCACCCGATGGCGCGGCTGAGCGGCCAGAGCAGAACAATTGCCAACACTCCGCGGAAGCGCATGTGGTAACAGGAACTGCCTACGACGCTGCAGTATGCTGCAGAAACTGACCAGTTTCGTACTACGTTTCGCAAACAGTGAAAAGCGTGACCCTCGATGAACAGAGATAAAAATGAACATGCTACGTGCTTGTTGTTTGTCTCCGGTGCACACTGGCGGTGGCTGCTCTGGTATGCCATTCGGCCGGACCCGACCCAGCGCTGGCCGTACGTGGACAGCTGCTGAGGAGCACAGAGGTACGCCCAGCGCCGGCCATTCACGGACAGCTGCTGAGGAGCACAGACGCGCCCAGCGCCGGCTGTTCGCGGACGGCTGCTGAGGAGCACAGAGGCGCGCCCAGCACCGGCCATTCACGGACGGCTGCTTAGGAGCACAAAGGCGCGCCCAGCGCCGGCTGTTCGCGGACGGCTGCTGAGGAGCACAGAGGCGCGCCCAGCGCCGGCTGTTCGCGGACGGCTGCTAAGGAGCACAGAGGCGCGCCCAGCGCCGGCTGTTTGCGGACGGTTGCTGAGGAGCACAGAGGCACGCCCAGCGCCGGCCATTCACGGACGGCTGCTGAGGAGCACAGAGACACGCCCAGCGCCGTCCGTTCGCGGACAGCTGCTGGAGAGCACATAGGCGCGCCCAGCGCCAGTCGTTCGCGGACAGATGTTAAAGGAGCACAGAGTTGCGTCCAGCAGTCACCCAACGACGCGACCAGCAAAGACTCCCAGGACAGGCCAGCTGCTCTTAAATGCATTAACATTGCGTTAGTAATTGCTGGCGAGAAACATTATCACAAGACATAACTACCATGGATTCACATCTATCTGACTTCTACGAAGTAATATTGAGCACTTTCGTGCAAGTTTTGGGAATGATCTCGATAGACACTGTCATTGCAAGAAAACACATTTGAGATAGGAGGTCTACCACGCTGCCTCTTTGTATAGCAGGACTGACCCGTCGGGCGACCAGGCGCTCAAAGACCAAAGTTTGCCGGCTACCAATGAAAAAACGCCGGTAGAACACACGCACCGTACGAGCGTTTCCCATTGGCTGTTTCGGCCGGTAAGTGGTGCTTCGGTAAACGGCTCAGCCGTGCGGACGCGAGAATCCGAATCTTTATAGTTCCGGGTGGAGAAGGGCTCACACGTGTGCACGCGTCAGATGTCCGACAATAAATAATGTATACAGGGATAACGACTGCTCGATAAATGGTGTCGGCCAGACCCACGCACTCATATGTGGAGTAAAGTCGGTAAACCTCGCAACTAGCGATTAGCCCTTCGACGATTCGATTCGATTCGACTCCATTCGATTCCAAGATAACGATTCCGACTAACCTTTTGACCAAAAACCTTCCTTGTGACGATTCACCCTTCTTGAACCGAAATTTGAATAGCACTTGCTACCCTGCTGGTACAGACTGTCTGCGGCGAGTACCGTCCGTCAAACCGGACTGGTCAGCTCAGTACAGCCGCGAGGGGAGCGCGGTCAGAGGTCTCGGTGGGGCAGGGTCGCTGGACGGACGGGGAGACGTTGCGTGACCCTCCGATGGGACGCCCAGCCGGCGCATAGGCCGATCATAGACCGACTGGCATCACTCGTCACTCGTCTGTTACCCTGATTAAAATAAGTGCATGACCTGTTGATAACTGTCGCTGTTGTAAAACTGTTGATAAAAGGTAACCGGCTACCGTAAGATTATGCGGGTGGTAACGTGTAAACTTTTCGTGAAGTGCGCGTCTCTCGAATCTTTCTGGCTGCGACATTGTCTGGAACCGCTCACGCTATCCATGTTTACGAACTACGTTAGGCCTCAAGCTACGCCTCGAACCTCTGAGATGTACACGGGGCTAGTATGTAGTCCGAAAAACTGGGCCTGCTTGAGACCGGGCGGCGAAGGTCAGAAGGCCATGTTTACGAACTACGTTAGGCCTCAAGCTACGCCTCGAACCTCTGAGATGTACTCGGGGCTAGTATGTAGCCCGAAAAACTCGACCTGCTTGAGACCGGGCGGCGAAGGTCAGCTCGCCTTCTGCCGGTCCACCATGGACATGAGCCGATCGACTGTCGGCTCCGGCCGAAAAACTGCCCGCTGATCCACACTGGCCTTGTCGGCATCCTTGATTGAGCCCTATATTCGTGACCCGGCTTCCTGGCCGGCCGTTCGCCTCGGGCCGATATTGGGGTCACGTGGCCGGCGGCCGGGGGCCGGCTGTCTGACTGA